TAGTATATTTTTATTAAGTATCTTGAGTTCTATAGGGATTCAGAAATTAAACTCTTCATCTGGTTTATAGTAAATTTTTTATATATCCGTCAAAATAGTCGAGAAAGTGTTAAACTGAATGTTCTCCTCTTCCAGTCGTGTCATTGTCCACTATTCGGGCATTTGGTTTCGAGCTATTCTCCTTTTGGTCGGTCATAACAATATTTTTTTTTTGGCAAGTCACCCTAAATAAGGCGTACACGCCCATATACTCGCGTGCACGAAGGGTTGTAGAATTAATGACGGTCGGGCGACACGTTGAAATCTATTAACATGTTTTCGCTTTTATATACCAGACTGGTCTCGGTCGCGGTTTTTGCCGCTTTGGGCTTTATCGCCAGTTTTGAAAACGGTCGAAAATTAATTTCATTTTTTAATTGTATGTACAATTTTGAATAATAACGGTGGAAATCTCGACGGATGATTATATTAAGGTTTCGACGATAATGGGCCAAAAGTTTTTCCTCTACTCCCTCCACTCCTTCTCTCTTTCTAGGGTATCTTAGGCTATCTCATCGTTTAAATGTAATAAGTACACATTATGATTCGGTACGACAAAGCGTAGTATTGTTTGGTGGTCAACTACTAACTTCCAGAATATTAGTAGTAAAAATATATTTGTATGATTTTACGTGATAACATTTTTACTGAACCAAATCTGGCTCTGATTGATTTTCTTATATTTTTCACTATATATAACAAAAAAACAATACTGAGTGTTTTAATTATTTGTTAACGGATCGCGTTTGTTTTTTATACTTGTAGTTCTAATGCAAATTATAAATTAGCTGTACAGCACGATTTTGGCATATGAACATGCATTTTGCATGTAAATTCTAATTAAAAAATAATTATTTGTATAGATTAATAGTTTGTAAACCCTTTGGGTGGGTCACACATTTTTTTTTATTTTGAGATCATATAATAGCGTTTTTTGATATAAGTTTTTGTTCAGAATGATGTGAAAAATTATAATTTGTTTTTCATGTAGGTATCGGTAAAAATAGTAATAATATTAAAACAAGTTTTTGTTTAAAATATATGTACTTCAATCTAATGAATTTCCTAAACTGTCTCTCTCCCACGTAAATAATAGTATGTTATGTTTGATTGTCCGTCATCACCACAAGCGGTCCATTAATAATATGTTTATATTATATTGTAGGTCTATACAACTTGCAATCCATGTAATATATTATTTACTAATCCTTGGCAGATTGTTTGAAATATGTCGTTTGTCATAGGGGTATATTTTTTTTTTTTTGAGAATGACATTTCCTACAAATATACTACAATATGTTAAACGGCAAAATTGTTCTGTCATCATCAGGTTTTCAGATCGGTAAATTTGTTTATGAATTTCAGTGGATATAAATGATCTGGAATTTACAAAAGGGAACTTTGTGTTGCAATTGACGGAGTTTGGTAATTAACAACTTTATGATATCATGTGCACAAAACGTTTAGTTGTAACTCATTATACGGCCAATGCTCGGAGATCAGCCATAAGATTTATACTAAACAAATGCAAACGCAATCAAACCGCGTGAAACAAACATATTTGTATACATGCTCGTGTGTGGTTTAATTGTTGTTCAACAAATACAGTCAGCAAACAAAAGTCTAGTTTAAAATTGAAAATAAACTGTTGATATTACAATTAAATTAATTATTTCTCTTGAATATATTTTTACATAATAATCTACTTGATTGGATGAAATCCAATGACTAACTGGCCAGTTGGGACAGAGATAGCACAAATGTGGAGATAAACAATATAGTTAGTTAAAGTTTAAGCTTCGATTTTTTATTAGGAATATTAAGTACCTACTTATTAGGCATATTTCCGAAAATGTATTTACCACATCTCATAATAATCGATGTTTGTTTTATCGAAGCTATTAACAATTCGTTGGGTTGGTTAGATAAACAAAATTAATATGTTTATCCGCTGAAATCGACATTCGACAGTGATACTTTTCGAATGACTTACCTAACTCCTAAGCACATTAGCTTTGCGCACAATGATTGTGCATTAGCAATTTGAATTAGGTACACATGTTTGCACATTAGTAACTATTGTCTAAGTACAGTGAACTTGCATAATATATTGTAATTATTTATACAACAGTCATTGTTGGACGCCGAGTTCGGCATAAAAATGATGGCCCATTTAATGATAATATATTAGCCATAACGCGTTATTTCATTTAACTATTATCTCATTATGTTTATTTGAAGTATTAAACTATTTTTAACAGGATAACGGGATTAATCTCGAGAAATCGAAATCGCATCCGTTGCTCTGTAATATCATTTTTACTACAATTACCCGGTTCGATTGTCAACCGACTTAGTTTTTTCTTCTTTTAGTTTTCATAAAACATACAGTTGTTTAAAAAAATATGCGTCTGGATCGTTTTGGTAACATTAATCGCTCCATGGCCTTTAAATGTGGCTATGCGAACTTTGACAATGGCCGCCGGCCGACGTCAAAAGTCCACAAACCGTACTTCACTGGAACCGTTTCAAAAGAAGAACTGGTCAAATTAAAAGTATATTTTATAAAACATTTTGACTGTTACATAGTAAGACAGTTGTCCGTGTTGCTTAAGACCTAATACGGATGTATCAAATTTTTTTGGCGAGGGGAAGACGTGTGACCTCTACGACTCCAATACGCACTATGGTGGCTTTTTTATTATTCGTATGAATTTACAATTTTTAACTCTAGTCTCGATAGCAATTAAACGATAAAAGCGCGAAGGATAGTAATAGTGTGTGTGAGTATGTGTATAATTTGATCAGCATGAAACTATTTGCTATAATATGGCGAACGTCCGTGTAGAACGAACGAAATCGTCATCATTACAATAACATATTGTTTGAGCGTTTTGCCATTAATTCTGAAAACGTTGCCCAAAGCAAAGGCCAAAGAGGTAATCGATTTAGGACGGAGCTTGAATGAAGTGAACTTAATACGTTTCGCGGTAATTGTTGTTCGCTATTTCCGGTCGTTTGTCTTAATGTCTCACGTGCAACGCGACGTTAATAGATTATACACCGGAGGATTGATTAAACCCTATTGTGCGCGTGCGTTTATATTATTTTTTTTGGCTTTCGGAAATATTATTACTCGACCCGACGCTTTTTGAGTACGGACAACGGATTTTCGAAACGTTTGAAAATTATTATCGTTATCGGTCCGGCGTTTCTGCCGTTCCCACAGGAATAACTCTGACCGGAATTCAGTATTCCTCCGAATTTCGGCACTAAAAATAATCATTTGCGTTTGTACATCCTGCATTCTTGTGTACGAGGAGCCTGATGAATTCCGAGTGCTTAGAGTGCATATCCCTTGAGTGCGAAAATCAAATTCAGATTTGTTTAAATGTCATGTCATGACACAAAAACCGTCCTCCAAAACCGTCGTCATAATTATATCACGTGCTGTAATTTTTTTTTTTTAATTCAAATATTTTCATTAGTTTAATTATACTGTCCTTGTTTTTTGTAGTAAGAACTAAAATATATTTTTTTACATTATTTTTCGCTGAATTCTAAGCGACCTTCACTAACCTAAAGTCATTTGTTCTTTTTTACGTTTTAATTTTTTTTATTGAAGAACTATTTTTTGTTTTGATTACAAATTATTCCTTTTGCATTGAATTGATACACATTAGAAATAATTTTGTCATTTTGATAAATCAATAACTCTATGTTGAATTCCATGTTCGGTGTCTATTATAAAATTGTAAACATTAAAATGTCATATAATGACGATTTTACCACTTTCTTTGTTATTAAATTGAGTAAAATAACGATTTGTTGCCATAGGACTCGGTATACTATATTTAAAGTACCGACTAAGACAGTCAACAGACAACACTAGATAACGTTGTTGAGAACAATAATAATAATATAAATAATTACCAAAAAACAATCTGCATTTTATTACTATACGTTTAAAAAAACAATCAATTGGTTTATTCTAAACTGTTTGAGTTGTCTGTTTACTGTGTGTATTTTGACGTTTTTATCGATAAGATTCGCTTTCCCAAATGCTGTTGATTATAATAATATTAGTTATTGTCATTGGCTCGATGGACGACGGACGTCAACAAGCTAAATCGATAGGTACCAACATGCATTTATGTATAACATTTAATTCACTTCATCTTGCATCGCTCTTAACCTCTTACCAATAAGTCTGGGATCGGTGAGGCATAGAAAATCGGCTTGGGTCTGCCGTGTGTGATTTGTGGAGAATAAAAAGTATGGCAATCTCAGACACATACTTGACAAGATGCCCTAATTGCCGTTTCTGTTTCTGTATCCCCTATCACTTGATGGAAACAGCCATTTCGATTTATATCCCCTTCGGCCGCCTACGCAATCAACAGCGGCTTTAGGCCGTATATATATATATATATAAAGTTCAAGCAAAACTTTATAAACAGATAAATCGTACAGCCGTGCTCGCAAATTCAAACTCTTGCCAGGCGATTGTGCAGAATAGAAAGTTTTTTAATCGTCCCATATCATATATCATGTTTACCCGTAAACCCGACCCTGTGTATCTCGTAGCGTGTATCCTTTGTGTCCATTACATTTATCGCCTTCCATTTCGCCCAATCATCAAAAGTTTCTTATGTTGAAGTGCAAAAACCTACAATCGATACACGGTTTGTTTGCAAATGGCATTCTGTACGCAAAAATGTCTATCGCCAACAGGCGATTTACAAAAACTATGTTTGACACTAGGTGTTACTGTGTCTGAAACAATATATTTTGTGCTGCGGTCTTTTAAGACTTACATAAATGGCTAAGAACGAGTAGTCAGAAAACGCCGGCAAAAAAACATCTTAGTTGATGGAGTGTATCTAATTCTAATAACGTTTCAAGTATTATATTAAACAAATATTATACTTTATATTTATGCTATGTTTGTTGTGTTCCAGCAGGATGGCGAAAACCAGCAGTTCCAATGGGGACCAACGTCCGAAGACAGTTTCATGGAAGCCAACGACACGAACACGAGTAGCTACGAGGCGGACAGCGTGCAGGCGTCCATGATGAACGAGACCAAGGACGAATACCATCACATGGACCAGTACCAAGAGCCAATAGTGGACGTGAAAGAGACGCAAAACAATATTTCGTGGTCGTACGGCCGGAAAAACCGGACGCAGCCCGAAGACACAGACGACGACGATGACGGCGGTGGCGGCGGGGGAGGTGGCGGTTACAGGAAGGTGTTCCGGATGTCCCGACCGGAGACGGACGAGTTCAGCACGTTCTCCGACTACGTGGCCGAGCGGATGCGCAACCTGAAGGCAGACAAAGCGCTGCAGCTGATGGCCCGGCGGGACATCGAACAAGTGTTGTTCAAGTACGAAATGAAGCTGTTGGAACAGAAACGCGACACCCAGCAGCCAGAGACCGTGATGGCGGCCACCACGTCCAAGTCGCTGTCGCCGACGCCCACCAGCGACTCGGAACAGCAATAGCCGCTACGCATGTACCAACTGGACGCCGACCTTTGATGTGGTTAATACCATACGTATTATTTATATATGTATTATACAATCTAATAATGGCGTTGATTAACGTAAGACAATGAAAAGAAAAATTACATTACACTATTATGTTCGTTATTAGTTTTTACTCGTAAAAAAGACTTTTTTTTAAATATATGAAAAACTTATTGATTCCTATTACTTATTAGTGATTGTTTTTTTCCTCCCATATCCTTTGTGAGACATATTTTCGAAAGGTTATTTTGCAACAAAAGCCGTATAAACCGAGCCGAATATTAACGCTATTGGCGGCTTTAAAAGTTTGATGTTCACATTTGGTTTTTGTGAGTCTTGCTTTATGATTGGGTAAAAACAAACTGGTCCCTCGAACCGACTTGTAATTGACCACTTGTGTCAATACAGGGTGATTCACAAACTGTCGATTTGCACACACCAAGATCGTGTAGACTGGCTCATAGTCACATGTTGGTTTTTACTAATCGCACCAAATAATCTTGGCGATATTCGATTTTGTGCACTGGTGTGCTTGACAAACAGCGTTTGTATTTTTCTAGTTTGATGTTTTATTTTACTCGACCGGGCGTGACAATCGAACTGTACTCTGTATAATATTTTCTGGGCAACTATATTAGTTTAAAAAAAAAATCAGTACAGTGAGGACTGATCACAAGCAATTGATTAATTATAGTATGCATGATTACTAATAATAGATACAATCAAAATAGTGAGAATGCATTAAAACATTACATTAAATGTACACAACGTGTTTGTGCATACTATATTTGTGTAAAAAAAATGTTATTACCTACCTAATATTCAACAGTCAATACACACCATTCTTTTGTTCATTATTATTAGTATTGTATTTTTGTATAGATTAAATATATAATTAATGTTTGCGATAAATCGTTAACCTTGAAGTTAGCACTCACAATCGAGATATTATTGCTCTAGCAAAAAATATGTATATTAATAATTTTAAAATTAACTAGGTATTATATTATATGAAGGGGCTATACACTATATATTTATTTATAGCGGTAATTTTTGTTTTATTCTAAAGTTTTGTTATTTTAATGCTATGCAAGTATTTGCACAAGAGTCAATGAAGACTATACATATAGGACAATGTAAAATTTGTAATGTTTAACAGTAAATAAAATCGAAAACCTATGCAAATAAACTGAAAAAGGTCCACCTTTGCTCTTGCATAAAACAAACCAAAAATATTGTAATTTTTAACTATCGGGATAATGAGTACAATTTATGTTGAAACAATAAAGTATAAAGATACTTTTTGAAACAACTATCATTCTTGAATAAGTACACGTTTAATTGCTCCTTAATAATATCTATACATTATTTTAAATATCATTTAATACATGTATTATTGTATAATGAATTTTGTTAGCGCACAGCTAAAATCAATAATATACCTACTTCATTATTATCAAAAACTATTTTATGTTAAAAAAATAAATGAGTGATTAGTGGCGTTTGAAATATGTAATATTATGCAATTTTTTTGTTTTTACTAATTATTATTCTTTTAATTGTCAATGTTATACGTAGGGATTCGGCTCGAAGAAGGACCAGGTGAAATTTCCCCTGAGGGATTTCTACTTTTTTCACCCATCGGCCACTGACATCTAAGCATTACTGATTACATAACAAAATACCATTATCTTGACATGTCTTGTGCGTTACTCGGTCTCAAGTTTTTTGGACAATTTTAACAATAATATTATACTACCGCATAGTTTGTCAATTAACCCCCCCGACCGCTCAGAAAAGCATAAAATATCAAATAAGTAATAGTTTATGTAATAAAAAAAAAAGATCAAATAACTTTATGATACACGATTGAAAATGTGACTTTTTTCAACAGTGTGCGTATCGTGTACAACAGAAAAGTTCAGGGGACAAAATCTCCATAAATGCGACTAAGTTCAAACTCGGTTGGCCTATCCGCGACTTGAACCATGTTGACCTCCCGGGAAAATGTTTTTGTAGTATTGATCGAACCTGGAAGTGATAGTTCAGGTACGACCTAAAACGCACTGTTATATTTTAAAAGTGAACGCTTACATTTGATTTGACATTATTTATATAATGTATATAACTATTTATTATCAATGATACTAAGCTCATATAAATACATAATAATGTGGCGATTAATTAATCACGGCCTGTATTTAACTCTTGGAAGGTACTTGGTACATTAAATATGTCCCGAGAAGGTTTTTTTTTCATACAAGTTGGCATGAAAATCTTATGTATCCATTACACGTAGAGCTTTTTAATGTCCATAAAAAATTTACTTCTTATGTCCTATGAATTTTTAAAACTATATCGAATTGTTCATTTTCGTATCGCGTTATGCGTTTATACGAAAGCAAAACATTTTGATGAAAAATACAATTTAATTATTTAGGACCTAATTATGGGGTCCATGTTCCATGATATTATTTTTTAATGAGTTTACTACATCAATTATATGCGCTTGGTAAAATTTATCTGTCACGTCTAAATTCGAATATCACTCTTAACGACCCGTGTTAATACGCACATCTATACATCAATATGTGATTTATTATTATTATATTTAATGTCCATAGAATGAGCGACGTCTATAACTCGGTACTAGATAATTTGAAAAAATTAAAGAACAAGTTGGACGTTTTCCTTATTTGGTAATTTACTAAAACGATTGATTTGCTTAGACACAATATCACGTAGGTCCACAGTTCTTGTAATTATAATAACAGTCTTGTGTCCTAGTTTTTATAAATAACATCATGACATAAATAACAGGCTTTCGCTTTCTCAATAGATATGACTTTCTAAAAATTCAGACAGAAAATATTTTCTTAGCTTTTTGAAAAGAATGGAATATAAACTGTTTACCCTAGAAGTTTTTCTCAGTTGTTTTAAAATTAAAGTTATTATTCGAGCTTCAAATATTTGTTTTTCTTATTACTTAATGCAACTAAAAAACAATAATCACTTTACTAAATTTCCACTATCGGTTTCCGACAAAACATAGTTAAACATATCATCCTTTAACCGTTAATTATATTATCGATGGAGGCCTTAAAGGAACGCACAACACCTACATAAAATATGACAGAGTGTTTTATAGAAAACATTGTCATTTTATTATATTTAAGTGGCTGTGATGGTCTAACAACAAAAAGTAACTACCAATAAATCATTATCATACAGTATCTCTGTATTTATAAATATACACTACAGTTCAAGCTTTAAAAAAATATTTGCGAAAAATTGCCTATCCTTTACTCCTTAATAAATAAATGATATGGAGTCTTCTTAAGTTGACATAATCCAACCTTCTTGTGGTATAATAATACACTATATTAGTGGCACAGGTATTACCTAAGTATTTTCAAAATATGTCTTAGAAAAAATAAATTCAAAATGTTGGGAGCCCGTTTAATAACAATAAAATAAAAACAATATTATCAAATAGATACTTGTATTTTAGTCCCTATTTTTTTGGGATCTTCCCCCCCCCCCCAGGTAGATACTCCACTGTTTAAATGTTTAGAAATATATTTTGACGTTTGTAGGTTTATTTTCTTAACGAGTTATCTTTATTTGTCAACAATAATAAATACAAACAAAAATATTCAAAAAACTAATTGGTTAAACGTGTTTGCATAAATAGTAATTATAAAGAAGTAGACAAGAGTGACGCCACACTGATAACTTTTTGAGTAAAAACATAATTCTTGAGAAACTTGAAACAAAACAAAAAACACGTTTTGATGCAATAATAATTAGTTATCGAATAAAACATTGCACATGCATTCTATTAGGAGGTATACACGTACGTTATAGCAAATATTGTTATCTCTATAATATTACTACCGTGTTACGATTACTCACCATCAGCAATATCATATTACGAGTTGATATCATTACCTGAAAATTATTACAGCCATTGTATTGTGTAAAATTCGACCATAATAATGACCGTCGTTAAACGTTTTTGTAATGATCGACGATTGATAAATTTAATATGATACTAGACTGTTGGTCTACCCTGATCTACCCTAAACTAAACGTATTGTAGCTATTTAGCTGATTTTACTCATTTTCCAGCACCTTCTTTTATTTTTAAATGGTAAACATACTTATTTCGAAACACCATTAATACTCGAAGGCTGAACTTTTCAAAACAATTTCATGAAAGAACCGTAAAGTTGTGTACAAGACAAAAGGAGGTTAATAATTTATAACTATTATTTATTAGTAATTATTTTAGATACCTAATCAACTAAATTTTATAATACTGGCTGGGTCGTACCTAGTTCACCGAAGTCACCTTGTTTTTTATTTAAATGTCGGGTTCAATCGATACGCGCACTTTACGTTAAAAAAACTATAACAGACACGTACCCACTAATAAAATATATAATCTGTGTGTATGATCAATTAGGTTAAACCAACCAACAGTATCTGCCTATTCGGATGTATAAAAAATAAGTATAATCTATAATCATTTTTGAAAAACGTTCAAATATTTATGTTATTAGTTATTACCAAAATATATATTATACGACTGTAATTTATAAAAAGCTAAAAACAAAAATAAAAATGAATGGTAATTCTTGTGTCGTCATAAAATATTTAGTGTTGGTTTTCGGTGCCCGTCCAATGCATCCAGTCGTTTTTAATTTGTATAAGTGTTCTAAGTTATAATATAAACTTAATTGTATTACAAAGACGATGCCTACCGGATATCGTACTACCCAAGAACAAAGTCATAAAATTATTTGTACCTAGCTTCTCTTATTTTAGTAATGAAATTTACGCTTAAAGGGGGACATAATCTAATGTAAATACTTTTAGTTTCCTCCGGCCTTTCGATGTGCGGTCGTATACAATATCCAATTTTATTACTTACAACATTAATACAAACAATAGCAGTATAATTAAATTAAGTTATATCGTTATAAGAATAAAAAATATATTGCATTTGCTAAACTTTTATATTATATAAGTAGTCGATAAACACAATATTTGTTTACACAATAAATCTTACTTTCTATTATGTGTTTCCATTTTGACAATCATTTTATGTAAACTTACTAACTTCTTTTATAAATCGCACTCGTACACAATTGAGTTTCTTAAGGGGCCTCTATACTAGCATTTATTAAGGCGCATTGTATAGGCAATTTTTCGCTAAACTTAACGTTAAGCTAAAATGTTTAAACGTACAAATTACCATAGGAAAGAAGTATCTATATTGATAATTAATTTTTTTTTTCAACTTTTATAACCCATATAGGATCTATTTTTGTACAAAAACATATGTTTCTACTTCAAACGTACTGTTCCTAAGAATTCTTCGATTTGAGTTTTGAAAAACATTTGTTCAATTCTTCATAACATTTTCAAGGAAATGACTGTGGCACAATTTTTTATATTATTTTTAGTTAATTAAGTATTTTAATGTAAAAAACTGCAATTTTAAACTGAAATAATTAACTAACAAAAAACAAATCATAAAATTGTGTCAAAATCAATGCCTTGAAAATGTTATAAAGAATTCAAATCTTTTTTCAAAACTTAAATCGGAGTATTTTCTTGGGAACTGTACGTTTGTAGTAGAATGAGTTGTTATATACTTGTTTTCGACCAAAAATACGCAAGTGTAGAGGCCTCTTCATATTTTAAATCCAAGTAGGCGAAACAATAATTTGAAGAGATTGTGGCGGGGCAAACGTTTCTTTTAGATAGTTTTTAAGATAAATTTAAGCATGAACAAATATGCATACCCAGTAATTAGAAGACAAATTAAATATTACCAGAAAGTTTTTTTTTACACTTGACAGCATATTGTAAAACTTTTTGAGCAGAAATAAATGTTTACGACAGTGGACATGTTTTTATAACAATAAAAAATATATTTTTGAGTATGCATAACGACTCTAATAATTATTGGTACATGATATAATATAACAAATGACATTTAAATGTGGGCGAGGCTACACTGTTGAACTTGGGTCAGTATAAAATCGAGTCTTGTGATTAAATATTTTATAAAGTATATCTGAAATTCAGTACAGTAACTAATCACAAGCGGTTATCAATTCGACCACTGTTGGCCGCTATGGACTTGTGACGTTCCACAAACATCAGTTATTATAATAACTTACGAGTTACGGTGTATTTGTTCTGTTGATTTTTTAGCTAACTAATACACGAATTTTAAATCAAACTAGTTTGTATTGTCTTATTTTAGTGTGTACAATATACAAATAACTTAACGCTCAGTCCAGCCACATTCCATTTGTTTGCATATCTGAAATTTAGGGAAAAATCAAAATCACAACTCAAATGTCGAACACCAAATATAACATTCCAAATGTTTGGGAGTTGTGTTTTTTATCGGTGCCAATCATCGTACCGCTTGCTGTTTATATGTTCGAAAAATGTTGCTCCAACAAATATCGTAAACTCAACTCAAAGGTAAGCGTTGATATTTTCTTCTCTGATGTATATTTCATTAAGTGTTAAGCCAATATTGGTCGTGCCCTTTGAACCACCTGACATTTGTTTTATTCAGTGAACTTTGTACTGTACATAACATTCGCAATGATTTATTTAACAGAAGATTGCAAAAAATCACTGTCTGTCGAGCAAACACTCGATAGAAGCTTTTATCTAAAGTAAACCTTAACTTATAGTAGTGTGATTGAAATTTTAAATAAATAAACAAATTCGAAATAATTTTGCTACAGTTTTTAAACTATAACGTTATTCCTGCATTAATGTATAATATTTATTTAACCTAACGTCATTATTATTTACGTCGCATACCTATATTCAAATAAAATAATTTTTTGTATTTCAACATGAAGTTCAAAGTTAAAAAAAGTACTCATTAATTTTTATTGTAGTTTATATGGTCGTGTGGGTATAGTGACAGTGTGTTATTGCTCACTGTCAACGGTTCGACACTCAGTTAGGCAGCTCGGTATGCTTGCCGTAAAACGTTTAGTGAATAGGAGACTGCCATCCCATTCATTGGTGACATACTGACACCTGTCTCTTATAGCAAATTTGTCAGAAAGCTTCGAAGGAAATAGCGATGACCCTAAATAGGCCACTTATGCTGATTCCTTATCATAATTAATTTTAACCTTTTTTTTTTTTTAATTTTGCATTTTACAGGTCGTGTTAATAACTGGTGCCAGTTCCGGTCTAGGTGAAACTTTAGCTCATGAATTTTATTCTCATGGCTGTGCATTGATTTTGACTGGCCGTAGTAACACTGAATTAGAACGAGTCAAGAGTGATTTGTTGAGCAGAAGTGATGTAATAATATTCATTTTTTTTACTAAATAAATGTAGGTAATACTTAGTTTAACTTATTTTTCTTGTCATAGGTGAAAAATGTTAACAAACCGTGTACCCTAGTCTTGGATCTAATTGATCAAGCTACAATAGAAGGCGTCAGCCAAAAAGTGTTAGGTGTTTTCGGACGCGTTGATATTCTTATTAACAATGCTGGTATCAGCTACAGAGGTAGAGCCGAAGTGACAACAGCTGAAGTAGACTATCAAGTAATGTTAGTTAATTATTTCGGACAAATCGCTCTAACTAAAGGTAAGAATACTAGTAGTTTTTTTACTTTTCTATATTTCGTAATTATAATCATTTGTGTAATTATAGAATTAATAGTTATTGTGTTTGTTTTTGATTTAGCTATATTACCTAGTATGATACATCATAAAAGTGGCCATATAGTAGCAATCAGTAGTGTTCAAGGGAAAATAGCTATACCATTTAGGTGATGATAAACTTTATGTTTCATTCATATCTTAATTCAATTATGTTGTTTTAAGCTACTAAAGTTGTGTCTAATTAAATTTTTCTAATTTTATACAGATCCGCTTACACCGCGTCTAAACACGCCTTGCAAGCCTTTTTCGATACCCTGAGAGCAGAAATTGCACGCCATAAAGTAAAAGTAACAGTTATAAGCCCTGGGTACATTCAAACGAATTTGTCATTAAATGCGTTGACTGGAAATGGATCAAAATATGGCAGTAAGATGTTTTTTAATTATGCTCAGTCGAGTTATTGCTGCAACCTCCAAACTGATTTACTGAATGGTTTAGTGAACTACACCTAGTTTTCAAAGTCATAATTATTGAATTTTCTATTATTTTTTTCAATCAATGGGTATTTAAACTTAATTGATTTGTTTTTGATATTTCTTTAAAAAAAATGTAAAACTCTACATTATAAACATTTCAACAAAAAAAAAATTGTATAATACATAACACCCTTCTTAGCAAAATCATTGATGAAGCAATGATGTTAATGACACCTACAACTTTGATAAAAAATTATTATTTGTTAAAAAAAAAATGTTTGTCTATAATGTGCAGTAGTGAGTACCAATTTAATATAAATAGGTAGATATTCTCTCATTGACTTTTATGACACTTTGGCACTGTGTGTATGCTTTAAACTTCTGTTAAAAATATAAATTAAATATTTTATTTAAAAAATAATTTTAAAGTTAACCTTTTTTAAAGCTTTTTGAACCAAGTTCTAGCTGAATAAAATGCAAGAACATTTTTGGCCAAAATTGGTCTTTTAAAGAAATTTAATAGAAAACAATTTAAATTCTCTACACAATATGTCTGCTTGAAAATATGTGAAGAAATCAAGTTGTTTATATGGCTTGTTAATTGTTTTAATAGAATAATTTTAACTAAATTTACTAATGTGATATTTATATAGTAATGGATGAATCGACAATGGATGGTTATTCAGCAGAGTATGTTGCTCAACGAATAGTAGAAGCAGTGGTTAATAATGAACAAGAAATCATTATAGCGCCGTTTTATGCTCGATTGGCAATAGGGCTACGGTACATTTGGCCTAGGGTTTATTTTTGGATCATGAAGTGTAGGGCTGAACGGCAAGCTGGTCAAAAAATGTAGGATTCAAGGATTCCCTGCCATCAGACGGACGAGCTTCGGCCACAGCCTGTTGTCGTCGGCATACGGGAATCTCGCATTTGACATACAGCCAGGTCAGTCAGCTAGACTTTTAGATATTAGAATTTAGATGTTATTTTTTTTAGTACTTTTAATTTTGTATCCTTATCATTAATTCTCTTGTCATTAGTGGTGCACAGTTTTCAAATTTACTTGGATGTGTGTGTTTAGTTTGAATACTAAAATGCTGTGTTTATTGTTATGACGGGTTGTCGTTAATTTAGTAAAATAAATCTATGTTGTCTTTCTGTTTATATTGCATTCAATTTATAATAAGCCGCTGTTAACCAAGGCAGCGATACTATAGTTGAAGCTTAATGAACTGGGGATTGGTTGCTTCACCTTCAGCTACTGTTTGGTGATCAAAATACAATTTAAGTTTCTTAAAAATTTACAGTTTTGGTTATAGAACAAAGGCTACAACAATCATATTTTTATTAAATTATTATGAATTATCTTTGCAAAGTATAGCTATAAGTAAATTGTCCACTACAGTACATTTTACTTTCTAATTAAAAACAAACCGTCCATTATATTTTGCTTGAGCAAATTAGAAATCATTATATTTTTTTTACACTGTATTATTAAAAATAAAGAATAATTTTTAGTATAGTGAAATACTATTTTAATTCCGTAATTAAATCCTATTATTGCTTACAAACTGTTGATGTAACTTAACGTTAAATTAATTTGTTATCTGTTTTTTAACAACTGAATATTGATAATTTGAATAAAACTAAGTGTGTCATGTTATTGATATTCAAAATAAATATGATTAAGAAATGGGACAAAAAGTTATGCTTATATTAATTTATATGACCAAATTGTTAAACCTATCTAATTATTGTTATTATTTATATTTTTAATTATTTGGGTATATTTTGCAAAACTAAAATTTTTTTTAGAATGAAATATACTACTTAAAATTTTTTATTAGGTATTTTATATAAAAATGTGTACTCACATTTTTTTTAAAAATATATTTTAAATATTTTATTTTTTGTAATTTTTAACGATCAAGGGTTAATGTTATTAATAATTAATGCTAATTTTTTAAGGTGAACTTGCTATACTTTTTTGCATCGGTATTTAGTTTACTACCTATTCAAGTCAATTACATTATGTTAATTTTATTCATAAACTGTGCATCACTGGCTATGTTAGTTTAAAACAAAAATTTACAATCAACGCTACAATTAGTGTAGTATTAAACTTTTGCCTTTTATAATTGTATAAGATTGGAAACTTTTACGACACCATAGGATTAGATGAATGTGTGTTTTAGTCTACTTTATATTTAAAATTTTAAAAAAATATTGACATTTTTTCCATCCATTTTTTAGTACAACAATTAATTTTTTTTAACAATAATCAATCATAAATTTATAATGATCTCTTTTCTTTTTTTGATAATAATAATTGTTTACTATTATTTATATATTTATTCGTTGCTTGATATATATTTTTATGGTGCTTGTTACACATTTTGTGTTACTTTTTATCACATTTATGACAATATTTATATATGATCTTTTACCACGTAATTTTGAATTATCACTAAAATTATATTATTTACATACAATGATTTAAATAACCTTGGCGTATCGACAATTACATTTTAGTAACCTTGTATAGCTCATTTAATATTAGTAGATCTGACTTGTGTCAATTATTTATGTATACTTAATAGTGAGTTGTTAATATTATAGTTTAAACCTTAACCTGTTTACTGTTAAAACAAATTGTTTTATTTTATAATCATTTTATTCTAGTCTGTTTATACTAGTTTTTTATTTTTAGTCTGTAATAATAAAATTACAACTATTTAATGTTACAATGGTAGACAAATAAAAGTTAAGTACCTATTAGTCAAATACTTATAACAATAGACATTTTAGAGATTTATAGTTGTTATTTTTTATTTATACTTTTTTATAGTATGTTAAGTAAGAAACCCAAATGTTATGTAGAATCATTCGAATCTGAGACTAGGAAAAGATGCCATAGTTCAAAATGTTATTGTTGTGCTTAACGTATCTTAAGATTTATTTGTTTAATTTTTCTTATAATTTATTATGATATTTTGTGATAATACCCAAATATTATGTTTTGCCTAAGTAGATAATGTACAATTTTTTTTTACTAAGCACAAAGTACCAATGTAATTAAATGTAATGTCCATGCACTCAACGTAAAAAAAAAACTCATTTTTAGAAAAATAATGTTTTATTTAAAAACTACACAAGACACAAATTTGAATAAAATATAAGATGCATCTTATTTAAATTATAACATTTTCTTCAGATTTTTTGTCTCTTTAATAGTTATTTTACTACTTGCAAACAAGGAGGTTTAACAATAAATCACATTCAAAATTGAAGATTGTAAAACCTAAATAAATATACTTTAAATTTTCAGTCTATCAAATAATGGTATCTACAAATTATTAATTTGTCTGTAAATAGAAAAAATTTTACAGACAATGGAATTCGTAAATTTTATAATTTAAACAATGGTAGGATACGTTGCTGATATTAAAAAAAATATTGATCATTATAATACTATTATCAAAACAGTATGGGAATTTTATATGCATTTTACAAGTGCGACTTAATTTGGCATGCTACATTCGACTTAAATCTCTAGGATCTTTATTAATAGAAAATAGAATTATATGTATAATGAGAATGGTCATTTAATATACTGACAATTATTGCCTTTAAAATAAAAACAATTAACTAAACAAATTAATTGTTCTGTTACTTTCATTTGAACATTATATGTAATACATTTATGAATATTGAAATTTCGAACACAAAATTAAACAAAATACATAAAATTTGTTATTCTTAACATTTAAATTTAAATTGACACACAATTATTCTCTTCATTTGACAAAACCAATACATATACCTTTTTATTTTAATGGCAACAGCATGGTCAAATGTTAGTAATTTATTAAATTAATTAATTAATAAATGTGTAGATTTTTTTAAACTACAAAAATAAAATTCTGGCTAATTTAAAAACTTAATTTAGATGTTTGAGAAGTATCAGTTTGCTCATCCGTTACCATCAAGTGTAAGAAATGTTCGCAACAACTATTTTTGTTTGTTATAACAAATATACATTTATGAATTCACAATAAAATGATAACAATGACTTTTTTTGTTTTGTTTTTTTAATAAAAAAAATATATTTGGTAGTTGTGATAAAGTATATTAAAAAATTAATGTTGAAAATATTGGGTATAATATAAAATGATTTTAAAATATATAGTATTTTAATCTATTTAACACAAAAATATAAGAGCTTCATTATTCTTCTTTCGACTTGCAACTGTACAGTTAGAATGCTTGTTTAAAATTTACAATTCTGTGAATATTGAATCAAAGTTCACAATTATATATCTTTTGCATTAAATAATACGTAAATATATTGGAAATAAATATAAACTACAATACAATTTGGTTTAAGTTATAAAATATTTCTTCCAGCACTCATGCAGGTGATATTATATATTTTTTTAATGTTATGTAAACAAGAAATACAATTTTTAATTTTATTCTCAATTTCTGTGTTACTTAACAGAAAACTTTAGATTGAAGGTTGACACAACCTTATATATCAGGCACTTACAATTATTAGTTGTTAAAGAAAATCAAATCAAATGAAAACAAAGTAAAAATTATATTTTATATAATTATAAAATATTTGTCTATACCATCATGTGCTCGATTTTAGTAAGTATGCGAGCATGTTACTTGCAATACTCATACAGTTTCCAGATACAATATGCAATAGATGCCGTGGTTACGGTGGTGTGAACAATTTTCCGTTTAGTATCGCTACCTCGCTCTATAACTACTGGCAATGGTGGCGTGTTATCTTCTTTTTGCAGAGATTTCAACCTTGGATCTCTGTGTACTTGGTATTTGCAACACGGATCAAATTGCCAAGAAACCATGTACAAACCAGTGCAAACAAATGATACCATACACAACGGGCCATATATCAATGGTTTTGAAGACCATGGGTACGCTAAATATAACAGAATTTTAAATACAAATTAATAAATAGCTAGTGGTCTAGTTGTAAGGGATACATAGCTAACTTAACCCTTACTTCACTACTATTATTAGCTATGACTACTCCACCCTTATTAGCTTTTCTACGACAGAGGCTTCGAGACTTTACTCAATGATAAAAGTTATGATTATGTTAAAATAGATTAACAAATGTTTACTAACTGTCATAATGAATACAAACTGAGATATATAATAAATATTTAACATATGAAATCTCCTAATACACATCATATATTTAGAGGAAAAAATTATTATTTATTATTCATTTTTTTTTTTTTTGACAATTTAAAAAGCTGATACTCGCTTATTCATTTAATTTATAGGCTACTTAGCACTCAAACACAAAACTAACAGTAACATAAATTCAATTATCTACATTTATATTTTAAAAATTACATACCTATTCCAATAGATAAAGTGCCTGTTAAAATTGCGATTTTAGATATACAATTTCCCACTGTTATCCACCGTACAGTTTCATCAGCCAATTGTGTTGGCTCAATTATAATATATTTATAGCCAGCCTCCAATGCATTATCCAACTCTTGTTCAAATATCTCTTGCGAGTTATCATTGTCATACACTTCTCTAATTATAGCTGTATCTTCTTGATTTATAATTCTGTAAATTCATAAGGTGTTTATCATAACCACAAGATAACAACATGAACAAATTTAATTAATAAATAATAAAAGGTGGTTTTGATGTAGGAAATATATGATCAAAACTTAAATTTGAATACTTACTCGTACGAAAGCATTTTCTAAACACAGTAAGACTGTTAAATTGTCTCATTCATCATATTATGGTTTCAATAATAATGTATAGTTAACTCTCATTTGAAGTATAAGTAGCTGTTCAATTTCTGGTGTAAATTTTCAAACTACTATTTTCTATACGTGTATTCAGAGTAAAATATATGTACGAAGTTCATTATAAATATCTGTAAAGGTTTCCCTAAACAGGGCCTCTCAGGTTTGACTCTTATAAAATATCAGGTTTCGTAAATTAATATTAAAGAAAAACAATTAACAGTAATAAGATCAAAGAGCTGTGAAAACGACATTGAAAACAGAAAAAATGTTCGGTTGATAAAAACCTACTGATAAAATCAGTTTATCATGGAAGAAAATATGATTCACCTCTAATTTTCTAATGTGAATCCTTTTTTTCCATGATAAATAACATATGTGCAAATATTTTACCGGCTTTTTAATACACCAATACCACCATACTAGTATTTTTCACACTATTAAGTGTTTTAAATAGAAATTCATTTTAACTTGAATTCTTAATTCAATTTTAACTAATATAAAAGTAGGTAGCTGAATAAAAAAAATGGAAATAACTACCAAATTGAAGAGAATGCTACTATCACAAGATCTTATTTCACAGGTAATTAACATATTTTATCCATAATGTTATAACTTATCATTTATGTACCCAGTACCTATATAACTGTATTTTCACAATACTATAACAAATTTCTCAATTAACTAAATTGTCATTTTAGGGGGGAAGTTTAATACGAAATCAAAACTGGTAGACTCAAATAGCTTACTTTTTAAACATCAAGCAAAATCAGAATAAAATAAATTAATATAGCACATAGGAACACAAAAAGTTCGATTTGAACAATAAAATAATTGTATTAGCCGTTTTAACATTAAAATCGGTCTTAGTTTAAGAAACCCGAAAAATATCAAAATTTATTTTGACGACTCCATTTAAACTGAAAGGTACAAAAATAAAGAAAAAAGTTTTAGGAGTTTTAAAATCTTATTTTTAGATTAATTAAAATTTTTAAGTTAGTAAGTTAGTTTACATTAAAAGTGAATAATGATTTAAGGAAAAACTTGAATTTAAGTAAACCTGGTTTAAAATCGAATCAAAAGTGTAGCATTGATTAAATTGACAACAACTTTATTTTATAATTTTGAGATTTTGCAGTTTTAAATTGCGGCAAAAAAATTATATAAAAATAATTACAAGAATTTATTTTAAATGTTTTTTTTTTTTTTGTAATTTTAAAGTAGTCTCATTAATACGTCGCTTTGTAATCCTCAATCTAAGTAGTTGAATAATTGTATTATTTGTCTACTATCATCGTCATATGTTTTCTTCTTACTATTAAACCGTAAACGTAATTTTTATACTCATTTTGGCTTATGTCAGTTATGCATTACATAATAAAAGCGTTCCGTAATTTTAATTTGAAAAATATTTAAATATTTTGGGTGTTTTTTTCTAGATTTTAATAGGGAAAGGGTGAACTTTTACAACTTTTGCCACAATAAAGTACCATTTAAATACGATTTGTGAACTATACACTTGTTACATGAAGAAAACAGTATAGTGGACTTAGGATTTGGGAGCTATCGTAGGTTCAAACACAAAAATAACAACACATAATTTTAAAAACAATACATTCTTATTTCTTAGCTCTATGCATAGAAGCTAATAAATAATTAAATAAATATTTAATAAATTTACAGTCCTCTGGTGCACATCACATAATACTAAAACGTCTATTTGTATGGCATAGAACATAATATGTATTTCTTTGTTTCAGGACAAATGTATCAGATTTATGATCCATGTATTAAGAGACCCAAAAAAGTTTGATTACATCAGTACTAAATTTTTAGACGATGACCTAATTCAATTCTTATGTGAACCATTACTCTCCATCAAAACTTCTCTATTGCAGTTAATTTATTATTTGTTTGTTTGCGTTATATATTTATTTTCTGTAAATTAGTGTTTATAAAGTTTGAAAAATATTTAGAAATATATGCTTATGCATATGGATGTTGTCAAAAAATCAAAAGTTTTACGAACGAAATGATGTGTTGTATACTTGCAACAGCTTAATGCGGACACTTGTATTTTTGTTAAAAACCAAAAATCCCGTCGCGACCAATTTAATTCAGTTGTTGGCGATATTTTTGAAAAAGTAATGTATAATCTTTAATCCATTTACGGGCACATCGGTGGGTAGTAGAAAACTACTGTAGGGAATACTGTCTTGTTTAAAAAAAACCTATCTCAATAACAAATACTCATATAGTTTTAAATTATTCGTTGTAACATCACAATAACGTACGTTACAATAGTTTTAAATAAAAGTAATATTTATATTATAAATTGTGTTATATTTAGGTATGTCAAAATTTAAAATAGTGTCCATACTCGGGATGAAAAAAATATTATTGTATTTTTCTCTCTCCCTGAATTTCAGCCTTCAAGTGTCATTTGACACAAATCGAGGATAATATATTTGATTCAACAACTTTTTTTTTCATTTTTTACAGAGGTGGTAAGAAATTAAGAGAAGCCTGTAATTTGTCGCAAGTGTTGACTGTAGTGAAAATGATTTTGGCAAATTCGGCCAGCTTGCCGGATCGTTGTACGATCAATTCTGTATCCATACTAACAACAATACTGTCGTGTCCTTTAGTAGAGTTAAATGGCAAACTCTACAGTACGACGATTTCTGTGTCCAAGACCATTTGCAAAATTATAGCAGAAAAAAAAATCATAGAACCGCACATAGTCGGTATAGCATCTGACATTTCAAGCAGTATTCTAAGGTATAGATGCAGTCTTATTTTAACTACTATAGATATAATATACACATATTGTCATGTATTTTTTTTACTTGCAGATTCTATTCGACGATTATGAAGAGAATTCAATTGAATGCTAATCTAACGCAACACCGTAATGTTATAGACCCATTGAAGAGTGTTGCTTGGTACATGATTAAGAACGTGAGCTTGCCTTTCGTCCAGGTAATTCCTGTCCAGATAACAAAAATAAATAAGTTATATATTATACAGTCATATTTATAGAAAAATCTCAACTCAAACATTTATCGTAAAACATATTACAAAGGGTTGAAATGTTTAATCAGTCCTTTCGATGTCACTTTGCCGCCGCACATCCTTCACAACGTCGCCAATCAATACGCGACACAAGGAATGATAAAAGTGTCCTATGAACTACTTGAATCTAGGTGATTTGTTACTTAATTATACAGAACCTTACACTACTTAAAACGATAACTGATAAGAACCAAATTGGTTTGTGTGACAAACCCCCTACCCCCAGTTTCTGACTATAAAATGAATATATAAACTACTCTTATTCGGTGCCTCTATCAAGGCCTGTGTTTAGAACTATACTTCCTCTAGACACAAACCACAAAATTAAATTATGTCGGATTTTGGCACAAATGGTTCAATTGTAAATGCATTTTTTTTTAATTAGAAAAAAATCAACATTTTTTCCCCTTTAATTTTGTGTTGCATTTTCATTTTTTAGTTTAATAATTTAACAACGGATTGTTAAGTTAGGTTAAACATTGCATATACAATTGCCTCGTTTGCTTAAAATGATCTTATGGGACTCTAGCTTCAATTGGGGTAAGGTGAAGAAGAAGAATAAAGAATACCATGAGATTGCATTGAGAACATTAACTTTATTTTCTTCATTTTTTGTGCCTACCATTTTGGTTCTCGTGACTGATTGTATAGCGGTTCATAATTTATACCCGACCTAATAATCAACCGTTACATTGTCATTTTTATCTTTTTAGTGATCTAGGCGCTTTAGCTGAACAATTGCTACTAAATATTATATATCGTCTAGCAATAGCCAACTTGGAAGTCGAACTGTACTGGCCAGGTGGCTTAGAAATGTTCTACAATCAATTGGTTGAGGGATTCAGACGATTCCCAAAGACTCCTAAAGACGTTTGTGCGACGTTAATAAATAATAAAAATGTTCACGTCAATCAAACGATTATCATTTTTATATATTTTTGTTTTTTAACATGTTCCGAGTAAGCAAGTCTCGTTTCGACAATATATTATTAATTATTGTGTATTTTTATATTATAAGGTAGGTACAATCATTTGGTTATGTTTTTCAGCGTGGACAACGAACCGTTGTACTTGGAATCGATATGTGTGTATTTATATTCGAATAAGAATCAAATTCACATTCCTCTACTCAAAGCTGTTCTTTTTAATATTTCCGTGAGTAGTTTTGCGCTTCGAACGACAGTCTAAATTGTGCGTGTATTTTTTTCGTTTGGTCTTGATTTCATTTTTACCAATAATTAATCACAGCTGTCGTTTGTATCACATCATGCGGTGAACACAATTCCCGGATTGCCGTCTGCTACAAAAAAATTGGTCCAACTGTTGACATCCATAGAAAATGTCGACGTAGTTTTTACTCTCCATCCGGCACAGTTGTATTTTATGTTTGCTTCAAATTTAATTCCAGTTAACATCAAACTGCGACTGGTAAGTACTTACTGGTATACAATGTATTGATCTGCTCAGCGTGAGCTAGGGGAAATAAACAAGAAAGTGATAACATACAACTATCAACTAACTTTTGTCACTCAGTTTTATCGTGTATTGTTAATAGTAGTAAGATTTACCCTATTGTAAAATGGAAATCGGGTGGTCAAATTCTAGATAATGCTGTGTGAAACCAATGTTTATCTCTTGGACATTATTCAACTAACTGAACAGACAGATAACAGTAACAATAGGGTATGAAATCCGAATAAAAATACGATTATTGTTTCCCACCCTGCACTAGTAGATTATATGATGCAGACCGAGGAGTAATGTATTTATTTGAAAAAATATTGATTCATTTTTAAGAGTATACCACATTACCTTTTTTTTTATAAAAAGACGTCTCAGGATATGTTTATTTCCGTGGGACAAGCAGTTTTTGTGTAAAAATATATTCATATAAAATTAAAGATCTGTACTTAATTTTTATTTCGATGTGGGCGATTTTTAATACATAATTTCAGAGAAAACTATAAAAGTACTAAGTTAAATTCAAATAGTAATTACATTGGAATAAATCTCGTGGTGTTTGGACAAGGGAAATAAGTTTAAATGATTGTATCTACGTATTTTCTTTTGTCTATATTAGTTTAGTTCATTAGACTTAAGCCTAAATTACTTTTTACAAATGATAAACCGTGGTATAACCCGTATATGTTCAAATAATTGCAGAAACGACACGAGTCAATTTTTTTATATGCTCAATGAAGTATCACATGACTAGAACATTTAATATAATACATTATAACATCTTTGAAAACTCTCAACTTATCTCGTCACAAATTTAACTAAAATTGAATTTTACTCTAGTCGCGTCCAATGTCCATGTTGTCTTAAGTTAAACAAGTTGTAAGTAAAACGTGAATTTATTTTGTCTATATTTAGGTCAGGTTGTGGATTATGAACTTAGATGACATAACTTCAAATGAAATAGAAAAACTGTGTTTGAACAACTGCGATTCTAAATGTTGTTTGCTTGTGAGTATTTTAAGTTTATACGACGTACGACAAGAAACTTTAAAATATTGTTTATGTATATTAAGTTATTCATTGTCGACTAATTAAAACGATTATTGAACACGGTGTTTAACGACGTATAGGATGTACTGATCAACGAAAAAGATATGGATGCCGTCAAAATGAATAAAGGTTTTAGTATAGTTAACAACATAATAATCCAAGAAAGAGACAGTAGCAAATACGATACGGTATTGTTTATCTGGGACTTGTTGCCTAAGTGTTTGGGTTCTTTCTGTTGTGCCGAAGAACCAACAATAGGAGGTTGGTCTTAGTGTAGTTAGATGGTATTTTTTATCTTCGACTAGGTACTTTAATCGGAGTAGTGGATTGTTGTTTAAACAAAATTATATTGTTTTTGTACAGATAACAATTTATTATGCCTCCTCAATCTGGCCGAAGCTTATCCTCCTCCTGAAAAACTAGACTGGACGTTAAACGCTCAACGAAATACTGCCTACACGATTTCGTCCATTATTAAATGTTATCAACTAAAAAGTTCGGAACACCAGAATTTGCTGTCGTCACTTTTACAACACATCCTTACCATAATCAGATTATCTTCTGCCGACGGTAATTACGATCAGTGACGCCGTGCGCCGAACGCTTTTTATACAGTTAACTCTCTCATTTCTAATTTAATTCAAGTTTTTTTTAATCGTAATAGTTTAATAAAGTAACTTTATGTAACTATTATAAGTTTAAAAAGCCAGCACAACTAGGAGCTTATTGGGATCACAGAGCTCTTTATAGATATAGATTTTTCAGTACTTGCTTGATCGATCTACTCGATTTTTTTATTTTCGTTTTTAATAATATTGTAAAAATCAACAAAACAACTTTGCAATTTATCACAAAGAAATAATTAATTCCCTAAAAATAACTTTAAAATTATGCCACGGTCGATACCTAGTTAATGTTATGAAAAATCCAAATGTTTACTCAAAACTTAAATCTGAGTATTTTTAGCAACGTTCTGTTCGAAACAAATGTTCTTATACAAAAATAGGGCCAGTGTGTGTTATAAAAGTTAAAATGAATTATCAAAATATTTTATGTATTAGTATATAAACTTACAAATTTTAACGTAATGTCAAGTTTTAGTGAATAATTGCCTATACAATGCGCCTTAATAAATGATTGTGTAAAATCAATACCTTTTTACTTTTGCATCGAAGCTTAAATCAAAGCACATAATTATAAAAATAATTTCACTTCTCTTAGTTCTGCACCAAAGCTAAAGAAAAATTAGTATTAATTATACACTTAAAAACTGTTTCAGAAAAATTAAGAGCTTTAAAATGCTCTCAGGATTAGGCAAAATTATATATTCATAATAAATTGTATTAGAAATGTTGAAGGGTTGAATTATGGTTGTACTGCTTATGTAATATTGGGCTATTTAAAAATATGATCGAATGGATGGGTAAATATGAATGCATTATTGATTACATTTTTATTTTAATTGTCAGAGGGATAGGATTTATGTTTGGCAAACGGTGGATGGCTCTGTGATTTTTGTGTGCAACAATAAGTTACTAATCAGTTAGTTGTCACTAATAAGTAATATTTCAACTAAGGAGTTGGTCAATTATGATAGGTTAGGTTATTGACTAATCTTCTCTTTCTTATAGCGACGAACACGATTAAAAACCACAAAGATTTTCCGTCCATTCTGGCAGATTTGTGTTTATCCGAAAGGAACAGTGTCTGTTCTCTATCTTTTGAGATTTTGATACAATTATGTCAAAGACCACAAGCTGAGACCTTGTTGCTGGTAAGAGTCTCATGCTAAAACAATATTAATATACAATACACCAAAAATACCGTAGACTATACTCGGTACTAGCTTTAATACGTTTTTTATTCATCATTCTTATAGCATTCCATCGCGTTACAACACAGACATATTTTGACCGCCATATGTAGGATTTGTCACAACTGCGTTGTGTCATCTCTCACATTATTCCAAATAATTATACGAAGCAAAGAAGAAAACGAACGCAACTTCGTCGAGTTGGAGGAAATACATGACGTCGAATTTTTAAAGTCCGTTTTCTTCCAGTTGGAAACTATTATATCGCTGGTAATTTAATACTACGGATATTCAACTATTGTAGGTAACCTTCACCCGTGAGCCTAAGATAACTAATACACATTTTTAGCAAACATAAATTATTATATTCGCCCGTTAGACACTTAACAATTCCCAGAAAACAAATTATAACTTGTATAGGTATTTAAAAAAAATTAAGCTTGTTTATATATTTTCATTGAAAATAAAAATATTTACTATTTGCTAAATGCGAGATTCACCCACGAAGCAAATGCCAAATACCCATTATTAAGAATAATTATATTGTCGACTTAAATATATCTATCATAAGAATTAATTGGCGTTTTTAGGGATTGGACTGGGTATCGGATCACGCCTGGAAATGTATGGAAACGATGTTGTCTGCCGATTTTTCGAGCTATCCACATCTACAAGAACTGCAATATGATTTCGCCGCTGATCCATGGCTTTATCTTTTAATTAGAAATTTCAAAAGTTATAGCGAAAATTGTTTAGAGTTTTTAAAATTTTGGTTCAGACGCTATGTATTGAGTTGAGTATATTAAAATAAAGTTAACTATCTGGAAGGATGAACTATAAAACGCACGATTTGAGTCAAATTAAAATCGCCTTAAAATAAATAAATTACACATAATTTTCGTTTTTCAAATTTATTATTAAAATTTTAAAATATCACCCAAGTAAATTACATTTAATAACTATTAATAAGATGTTTAAGTTGATATCTGTAATTTAAATACTATCTTTTATTTATAAAAAAAAAAATGGCAGAACGTTAATTTTTAGTAATTTATTCATTACACGTTTTGTGATAAATATAGATATAACTATTATTTCATTAATTTTTAAGTTGAATTATGCACATATTTTTTTTTTCCAGACAACGAAGGAAAAAAATACATAGTCCATGGAAAATCGATTTTATGTACAAGTTTTTTGGATAAAACGGTAGTACATATTTCCATAACTTTAATCAATCAAACATATAAAAACGAAATGGTTATGATCAAAGCCAAAGAAATAATCCAATTGGTAAGTAAAACATTTGTGTATTCGTTGTGAAGAATTTCTTTAGAATATATTTATATATATATATATAATAAAATATACTCAACATCAAAGATTTTAGATTGTAAAATCACTGCAATATTACCCGAAGAGTTATTGTGCAAGATGAAAACAATTGTTCAAAAATAGGTACCTGATGTTAATTGTATAACTTTGTATTTTTACTTTTTCTATCAAATGTATTTTATGTAGTTTAACTAAATATTTAACAAATTACATACATTTTTTAAATCAATTTTATTTTAACGTTGACGAAATGTAATTTTTTATTTAAAGCTAAACTAATTATTCATTAAAACATTTTAACTAAACCATGAATTAACATTAAATGTGAATAAGTGTTAATTTAATATTAAATTATAATTATATCAAGCCACTTTTTTAACATATTATAATTTATAGAAGTACCTATTGTAAATGTATTGTTACGTATAGATTGAATACTAAAATATATAGTTTTTAATTGCAATCCAGATCGTGTTTTATTTTTTACAATTTTTACAAGTTTACATGGAAGCATGTCATTGGCGTGCAACTAATTAATTCTTCTTTGAAAAATGTATTTTTATTTTTTATCTGGTTAGATTCAAAATTAATTTACTTTATATATATATATAGGTACATCAGTCTTAAATACATACAACATTATCAACAATTTATCATTTATAGTTAAAAATTGAGATAAAATAAACATTTAATATACTGACAGGAAAATGCATTAAGTCAAATAAAAGTGAATTTGAACTTGGGTACAATACATCATGATAATTAAAATACACACGGACAAAGTTTTCACTTATCATACATTTATGTGCTCTAGTTTTAATATCGTAAAAATGTTTATCTTGTGTGACTCTGGGACTCTTTGACATAATTATAAAAAACTTTAAAAATGACTATGAATCGCATATGATCTTACTTTAATATTCGTCGAAAACGTACAAGTATTATAAAAATGATTTATCTGAAGTTTTTTTAAAAATAAGTTGCTGCCAGAAATATTATATCCTAATTAATAACTTAAGCTCGTGATGAATAATTTTTTTTTTAAATATTTGTTTTAATGTTCTTTGTTTGTTAATCAAAGTGCGGTTGGCAATTACGACGTATATTTTACTAGTCAGTTATCAATCTCATTTTTTGTTATATGACATCGATATATTTAGGTACATTTTCAAGGTTATTATATTCTTCTGGATTGATAGCAAATAGCATGTCGCGGTTCTTACTAATATAAATAAATAGAGGTTCTGAGTATTATAATGTCTTCAAAACTACAAATTTTAGTCCATGTACGTTATCCCTTATAATCAGAGACACAGTATACCAGGAAAACAGATTACATAACCGATAAAAAATACTTTATTACTTTATTAGAAATGACATCCCAAGATTATATATTTTACTGGAATATAATAACATTTTATCACTCAATAGCCTTCTCCCTGATTACAGTGTATTCATGTCATATACTGTAATTGTTGACAAATTATCGTCAATCGTGTAGGGGTAAATAAGGCAATTTAAAGGTCGGCGGCGATTAGACTATCGCCCCTCTTCTCCTTGGGTCGGGTAGTACATTTTTTTATCACATGAATTTTATCTTATAATACATTTGAATATACTCTATTTAAATTTTGTGAGATAAAAATTAATTATTTGGTAAAATCACTTTTAACGAATGGGTCTATACAGATTTTTTGCAATCAATTTTTATTTAATTAAAACACCTGGATTTTATTTAGACAGAACCTAGTTTTGAGTTAGTTGTTCAGAAGACATACATTTTGGTCGTGCTCAACTGTTTTTTTCAGTTAGCAACATTTTGAATTTTAATCGCTTTAGTTTTTGTTTATAAATCGCCTCCCCCTCCTTAGTGATGTTAATTATATACCCCCTGACACCTAGTCATGATTTATTATAGGCTTAATTCTATTATAATTATTGGATTCTTTGGTTACAGGTCGATCAGGATTCATGTAGTCTCATAATATTCTCCAACGTGAGTTAAACTGTTAAATAAAATGGTGCGTAAGTGCGTATAATACATATAAACGTTGATTATGAATAGATACATTGTATTTGTTATCAATGATATTACTTACTTAATTACTTATTATATTACTTCACAATATCGCGTTGGTTATCGTTTAGATTACTGTTGAGACGTGCGCCGTACCTCTGTGTATCACAATAGAGTATAGGATTTACAAAGCCGTATAGTTCTTACTGTAGGTATGAATAGATAGGCATTTACTCTGAACTGTATATGGAAAACTTGTATGCCTGTGCACAACTGTAAATATTATTTTAACAATCTTCGATGCATATTGTGTTGAATAGGACGATGATTTGTTTTGAAATATGAACGTGGAATATTGGACCTAAGGCAAAATTGTCAGAACGAATGGCGGGATATCCGCCAGAAGAAGGCGAATGGTGATTTGTTAGACATCATCATATTGTTATTTTCATTTCTCATCCGACGACTGCGTGAATGAAGGAAAGTAACGGTACGTCGATCTTGCGTGTGTGTATAGGAAGCGCATAAAGAATGTGCCTGGATAGTGGAAAAAAATAAAAACAAGCGTCTATTGGAAGAGGTAGTGGTACTCAGAAACGCATAAATTACTATCCGGTATCTTGTAAACAGAGTCAAAAGGTGCGTACATACATATATACACGTGTGTGACGTTGTTGCCAGAAGAGGTTTGGCATCTGAAAATTGTCGGTACCTAGACCGCGCAAGGTCGACGGGCTGCCTTATATGGAAATCACCTATAATGAAGAGTATATATTATACATTATGATTATGATAAACCGAAATGGACCCGTCCTACGTCGCGGACCGTGTGTGTGTTTTTATACGTCTTTAGACGACTGTTACAAATAATATGTAGAGGTCTATTAACCTAATTATGCGTTTGTACAACTATATTGCGCGCGTACCGTCGCCCACACCAACGAGTTTCACTTGCACTTGACTGCCGAGGAGGTCCCACAGAGAAAGAGAGAGAGACATTGCCGGCTATCCGTTGTTATTGATAACCGTGCGACAGAATACCGCTTTGGAAAGTTTTTTTATTTATTTCATTCCTTGTCGAAGACTCTGCGAAACTTACAGCGGTGGGTAGTAAACATTAAAAAAATAGCATTATTATGTGTGAATTATGTAAAACGAACCAACAGTTATTTGTCGGCTCGTACTGCTATATACTACGTTTAGTATTTTTGGGCGCGAATCTAGAAATTATGCATATTATATGCTTTACTCTAAATACCATTTCTGCATTAAACCTAACAGTTGGCAAATAAAAATCATTAATTTTAATCATAAACATACTGCTCGAAAATACGTACCATGCCATTTGGTTTAAAGGCTAACAAAAAAAAAAAAACACTTCTAATTCTTAAAACAACATTTATTTATCAAACCAACAGAGAAAGTTTTTTTTTTAATTATAATAAACGTTTTGTTTAAAGGATATTGACTACAAAAACACTCCAGTGTAAATATTATTTAGATTAAAAAAAACCATAAAAACAAAATATTAAGGCAATACCAGAGAATAGATAAAAGCAGAAGGGTCATTTTCAATGTAAGCAAAAAATTGACGACCATTTTGTAAAGAACTATTTAGTATGATGTGTTATATCTATACACAACTAAAAATAATAATGTATAGTTATAGCATTATAATGGTGTAGCCTTAAAGATGGCCGCCGCGTTTTTGTGTGATAAGTATCTACCTCATGTTAATTTTAATCGGTGTCCGGGACCTGAAAATACCTACTAATATAATATTTGCGTTTTTAGTTATATAAAAACACTATAACGTATATATAGTATTCATTATAAAATTGCGACACATTGCTATTCAAAATATTCATGTAGCAGTTTTCCTCATTGCACATCTTATTATACGATAAACATTGATTATTTATGACTATAAATTGATGTTGTGACTAATAGTTAGCCTTGCTACAATATTATATTACCCATAATAATAATTTATACCCAAAGCAAACCGACAATTGTAAATTTGTATATAACTAACATTATAATTGTTATGAGTATTATTAATTTGTATTTATTAAATAAACGCTCTAAGGTAAAATGTATAGTTTGTTATAAATACGCAGATGTAAAGAATAACAAAATAAAACTACCAATACTTTCAATAACTAAACAAAACTAATTGGGAACATCCAAAATAAAAAACTGAAAACAGTACAAATTATTCAAAAAAACTAATATTATGTTCTACACAACTTCTAAAAAACATAAATATATTTTAAAACAATAAACATTAAAAAGTTGGAAGGTTATCCTTAATAATATTACTAGTCGTGTGAAAGACATCATCATTATTATATGAGGGCTGAGGCTAATGCGCCCTGTTTATAGGGGAGAAATAATTGTGAGTATCCTATGTGTAGAGAGAGAGGGAGAGTATCAGACGATTTCTAGTTGTAGGAAAGAACATCTATATAAATTTGGCTAAGAAAATAATAAATATAAAAAACCACAGATCATGTTTTTAATATTTTTTCTGGAGTTGCTTTGTGCTTTTCAAAAAATGGGGTTGAAATTTGATAAGTACTATTATGGGTCAGCTGTGATTGTAAAAGTTAAACATAATTTTTGTTATGGCTGCCCTTCCAAAAAATATTCGGTGTTTTTACTAGCAGTAGTAACTAGTAATATAATAGCAAATAGAAAAAACATTTTGTAGAGGTATTTATTTAATTTATGAGAATCCGCCTTCCAAAGATATTTTGGTTCATAGTTCAAAATTTCTAAATCAGGCCCTGAAGTACAATTTCATATTTTGTAATTACGTTCGGTCTTTGGGTTAAAAGGTATTAAATAAAATAGAATTTTTAACTTTATAATAAATAATTAGAGTTAACCTAATGTCCGTGCTTTATACTATCTTCTAAAATTCGATGTGTGTTATAAATTATAACTTATACAATTACATTGATGGTTACAAATCAAATAGCGATAACACCAAAACCATATATGAGTTGCTACTGTTTTTTGTTTTTTTCAAAGCAAACTTTTTAACTTTTAACATATAATTTCTGTTTGACACGTGGCCACATAATTGTAAAAAAAATATTAATCAACTGTCGCCTAACCTCT